ATTAATAGCAATTACAGTCTAGTCTACCTAGATATCAGTTTCTTGGACCAACATTCCCTCTAAGTAGAGTTAGGAAGTCGTCTAGGACCAATCTGACAGTTATTATTTATGTAATAATAGATAGGTTTTAGAAAGGGTTAATGGATGCACTAAGTAAATTGAAAATAATATTCTTCGAGACAATAAAAAGTTGCTGTCATTAGTATAAAAAATAATCTATAAACACAAAAGGCAGTGTCACAAATAAAGAAAAAAGATCACAGAAAGCCCCGCTTACAGCCTAAGCCCACTTAGTACTCTGGAAGTTTCAGCTCTCTCTTGCCATGCATACGGAGGTTAAAACAATGTTTGATGAGGGGTGGTGGGGCAGAAATCCCATCAGCCCTCCACTTGGGCAGCATCCTAGGGCCAAACCCACACATAGCAAACTAAATTATTGGAAAATTTCAACATGGATTTGGGAGACTTAGTCTCTGGTGAGTGTATTTGGTTGTAAAGCATTACCTTAGAAAGATTTAGTTCAAGTCAAGGTTCATGTAAAAAGTGCCATTTCATGTTCTCAGTTGTTCAAATTATATAAGTTTGGGAGGTCTATATATTTCAATTGCATAGAGGCCTTTTTTTATTGGGTAAATGTGCCCTGCTGAAATAGAGATGGGTTTAATGTACCCAAGGGTATTGTGTGCTTTAAAATTTGATGTTTGTCTGAAATTCAGGTGTGCATTATAAATGCATGACCAGATCAACTGAAGATTTGCTGTGAATTGTAATGGAAAGTATGCAATCTAAAGTCCAAACAATATTGTAATGTTTTTTTTTTATACTATTACTGTTACATCAAGAGAGAGCTTGATGTTCAATCACCAGGTATCTCCAGTTGGTGTAAGGCATCAAGCAGATGTGTATCTATCTTCTTGACAGTTACCATATTTTAGATTACATTTATCTTATACAACTTTTAATGTTCACAGGAAAAAAATAAAAAGCAATCACAATGGGGGATGACAACAAAGATGAGGAGCGTGTGTATGGCGGCTGTGAAGGCCCTGATGCCATGTATGTCAAGCTGATCTCCTCAGATGGTCATGAATTCATTGTGAAGCGAGATCACGCCCTCACATCAGGAACTATCAAGGCTATGCTTTCGGGGCCAGGCCAGTTTGCTGAGAATGAGACCAACGAAGTCAACTTCCGAGAGATTCCGTAAGTGAACTCCCTGGCTGGGTCAGTGTTTTTGTTTTTTTCTTTTCTTTTCTTTTTTTCTTTTCTTTTTTTCTTTTCTTTTCTTTTCTTTTCTTTTCTTTTCTTTTTTTCTTGTTTCTTTTCTCTTTTCTTTTCTTTTTCTTTTCTTTTCTTTTCTTTTCTTTTCTTTTTTCTTGTCTTTTCTTTTCTTTTCTTTTCTTTTCTTTTCTTTTCTTTTCTTTTCTTTTCTTTTCTTTTCTTTTCTTTTCTTTTCTTTTCTTTTTAGATTGTGTTAGTTTCATTGAAAGTTTTGTATGATTTTTTCACTCTCTCTGTCTTCAGCTCTCTAGCACTTCTCTTCCTCTCTTTCTGTCTTCTCTCCCTCTGTCTTTTTCTCTCTCATTCTCTTTTGCCAACCCAACCTACTCTCTTACCACCACCTCCCTCTCCCCCTGTCTCCCCCTGTCTCCCACACCCTTTCTCTCCCTGTCAAAAAGAATTGAAAAAATATGACAGGTCATGGTTGACAAGAATATATATGATGTAGCCGCAGGACAAAAAGAAAGCAACAAGTGAAAGCAAAAAATCCATGTTGACTGTATTTTGTCCTATCTAGTTATAACTGTCATAAGTAGGGGTTAATAAAGCTGATCAGAGAAAAATGAAAGTAGAAATCACAAAGAAAATACTGTAATGTGAAAATTAAAAACTTTTTTATTTGAAAGAAGTGTTAATCATCATCTTACAGCAGTGGCAACATGGAAATAACAGTGATAGTAGTCAATAATGAAAGTAATGATTATCATCTTAATGTTCATAAGTGTACATTAAAATTTGAAGATATAAATAGGAATATAATAATGACTGGTGTTAATACTAAACTTTGCACTATGTAACTAAACTTTACACTAAGTAGCAATATAACTGGTTTTCCTTCTTGCTCCAACAGGTCACATGTGCTGCAGAAGGTGTGCATGTACTTCACATACAAGGTCCGCTACACAAACAGTTCCACAGAGATACCTGAGTTCCCCATTGCTCCCGAGATTGCACTAGAACTTCTCATGGCAGCTAACTTCCTTGACTGCTAATCAGATAGAACTTCTTATAAAAGAAGTTTAATGTCTAAGGGAAATAACAAGGGCTATCTGTAAATGCAGTTTTGATTCAGCATGTCCTATATTTGTTGTAAGGAAACTCTGATCTGAAGTTAAATTTGGAAGATTGTCAGGTTTTCTCAAATGTATGTGAACACCACCTCACTGTATTATAAAGGACGAGTCATAATGGAAATTCAAATTTTCAACAGGCAGAAAAG